ATAATAGGTTTTTTTTTCTTCTTAACAACTCGTCGTTATAATTATGTGATTTTTGTCCTACACATTCAACTCTTTATCTAAACACTTACTTATATTATTACTTTCGATTAACTTGTAAATCGTGTGTGATTAGCTTAAATCTCTCTTAATCTTTAGATTGGTAAGAATAAAACGATTAGTTCGCATTGTAATGGAAAAATACACTTGAAGCAAAATTCGAAATATGCATCTATTTTTTTAAGCAAGCTTGTTGTTTTAAGCTTAATATATGCTTCAGATTATTACGTAAAACGCAATATAATTTATACATGAAGAATAAATAAACCACTTAAACCGAAAACAACTTAAAAATATTGGATAAACAAATTGCATGGTGTAGCTGGTGGTACCAGTACACAGCTTAAATAATGCATGTAAAGAAATTCGTCTTACTGTTTATAAATATGTATGTGCGTCTATATATATATACATCTAAATGTATACAAACACACACTTACGCTTTTCTGTTGGCACGACGCTCCTCACCCACGCTGCTGCTTGGAAATTATTGTATTCAACTATGATTGAAAACTACCTTATCTACATAAAGATGATTTAATGTTAATTAATTTGCAATAAAATGATGTTTCGAAATGGACATATCTGGAAGTTTTTGGTTTATACATTCATCCTTCCAACTACGATTAAAGTATTGTTACGAATTTGGTATTTAAAAAGCTAATGTTAGTTCAATTATAAATTAAATGGTTTTATTTCTCGCGCAGTGCAGCGCGTGACGAATATTAAAAGAAAGCTAATAAATAAATCTTTTTGATTTCGAGAAAGTACTGGAAAATTCTAGCGCGTGATTTTAAAATGTTATAAAAGGAGGAAAACATCTCAGTTTGTAGTTAGCCACAATTTCTATGCTAAAATAGAACTTTCTCAATATGAACATAACCGTAATCCTGATAAATTATGATCCCTACTAATAGAAAATTGCAGCAAAGCGCCCAAGAGGCATCTTCCATAACAGCAAATGGTGAAATGTGTATATATTGTACATAGTACTATTATCTTTATTTTATCTCTTCATTAGTGTCATTTTTACCAGTGTCTTTGAAACTTTATAGACTTTATGGACATGATCCGTGTACCTGGATCTTCAAAGCTCTGATTATTTATTTCAAGTGTAAAATGTTTTTCACCATTTGCTACTTCTTCTCTCAAATAACCGCCGTCCCTATATGTACATAGTGTATAGTTTCAGTAGCTCATGTGCCTCAGTGTTGTACTTTAGTGTTTAATTTCTCAGACCAAGACTTCACTGAATTGTGATATCTACTATTTCAAGATGCATTGGCTGTGGACAGTTCACGGGAGGGTGACCCCCACGTGACTGCCACTGTCCAATCTGTGTTTTACAGCAAGGATGAATTTCAATATTTTGTTTAGCTAATCTGTTGCACTTAGTTGTGCCATTTCTCTTCATTTAGATCGCGATATTAGTTTAATTATTCCAATCTGGATAACCTGTTTCAAAACTTGATAATTATTAATATATCCAATATTTCTCATTGCCAATATTTCTCATAGTTGCGGATGCGCTTTGCTCGGGGTCTGAACTTGGGTAGGTGACCACCCACGTGACAGGCTCCTGCCAATCATCTCCCTCCACTCCACCTACATTTCACAAAAATTTGACAAGTTTCGCCTAGTTGGCGCGGCGTAAATCGCCTTAATTAAAAACTTAAGTACCAACGCCTTAGGGCAATTTACCAACAGAGACGGTTAAAGTAGCGGTTGGCTACTAATTGCCGCCTAGCCATTGACTCGATTTCGATTTCGATTTCAGTTTGTAGTTAGTTGCTTGCTTAGTTTGTTGTTGTTTAGAAAACTGCTCTTGTTGATTGTAGCGAATTCGCGGATTAGCGTTCTTTAGCTGTTTTGAATTACGTTCTATTGGATATTTGAGTAGTTAAAAGATAACTACTGTGAGATATTGTAATACTGCATGATAATTTGAGAAAATTTAAGCATTTTTGTTGTGATAATAATAAATTTTTTGTTCATTTTTCATCGGACTTGTGCATTCATTTCGTAACGAACCCGTACTCACGCAACAGTATCTTCAGATGCCAGAGATTGAAGTACCGTGTTCCTTCATCTATATGATTATATATATATAGTACATGTGAAAACACATAACACACACATGCATATATATATTATATATGTAGATAGTATATTAAACAAACACATACACCACAAACACACACGCACAGATATATATATATATATATACAGTATGAATTAAATAATCAAGACTTAATAATTAAATATGCAAATACTGTTCGCACATTTTTTAGACGATTTTGCTTTGCGGTGAAAACAAATTATCTGCTTAGAAATTACGTTTTTAGCTGCAAATATATTTTTGAATAACCGTCTGCTGCTTGACAGTTTTGTTTTCACGAAATATGGCGCTTTTAAAGAAATAATTTATGGAAGGTTATGTTTGTGCTTTTTCCGAAGGAAATTATCCGTATCTAGTTGTTAAAAACCGCTGTGAAAGTCATAGTTTTCCGATGTCGAAAGTTAGGATATGCAATATTGTCAACAATAAAGGGAAAAAAATGTCAAAATTTGTCTTTAAGTGGAAGCATTGTTCCAAATACATTCCCAGGGAAAAAAACGCTATGTTTCGAATGTTGCAAAAGTAAGATCTTTAAGTAAGACACAATAACAAGAATACTAATTCAGAAGTCAAACAACAAAAATCAGCGTTAATTTACAAAATTTTCACAGGACTAGTTTCGATGGTTTTCCGAACCATCTCTCAGCTGCAAAACCGCAAAAGTTGCCGCAAAACCGCAAATTTTGCGGTTTGCAGCTGAAGAGATGGTTTCGGTAAAACCATAGTCAAAAACATAAGCGATTTGAGTCTTAAAAAGGCTCATTCATTCTTTCTTCACGGCATATTGCCGAACGTAGAACGCGCTGCAGAATTCCATTTGAGAACCAAAAAATCCAGACAAAAATGGTAAAATATTTTTACGGTAGATGAATCTTTTGTATATTTAAATGACTGCAATAAACAGAAATCTATTTATTATCATCAAAGAGGAGAGAAAATATTAAAACATGGTTCAAAATATCTAAAGAAAGATTTTCAAAGGGACTTATGACGGTTACTGGTTGTTCATATAACGGTAAATTAAAAATAAAGAGAGTGCGGAAAAATTTTAAGATCAACTCCACATATTATCAAGAATATATTTTAAACCGAGTTTTCAAATATGAAATGCCTTCTGTTTACCCACAGTGGGATCAATGAGTTGAAATGCGTCAGGACAAAGCAAACAGCCTAACGTCAAAATCCGCTGCTAATTTCTGGAAAAAAATGGAACAAGAAACGACCGTCAATGCCATTCTCTTCACTCATATCCTTAGTAAATTTCCCAATGTATCTCACGTGGATTTTTGCGCTTTTGGACTTTTAAAAAGCGGATTGTCCAAACGTCGACTTACAGCCCTCCTCGAACTTTGGAAAGCTGTTCAAGAGGAATGGGATAAAATTCCACTAAGAATACTACAACCTAAAATATTTCTGTAAATACAATGAAAGTCGTCTGTTTTTATTATTATTATTATTATTATTATCATGATGTAGAGTGCTCTATGACGATGAAAGTAGAAAATTCCATGAGCAAAAAATAAAAATCGGGATGTTGAAGATAGGTGGGCCAAAATATAACTGGCATGAGAGACAAAGTGCATCATGAAGCTGTAAAAATGCACCAAGCTCGAGAGGTGGCGTCATCTATTGTGACCTGGGAGAATTATTCCATTTATTGTTCTGAAAAGAGAATTACAGCTTTCCAAGCATATCAATACAGTACACTGCAAGCTGTTATTTTTTCTTGCAAATTCCTTCTCCTTAAAGAGTTCAGCAAAATTCAATAATCTACTGAAAAAGCCAGTGACTCTACCTAAGTATTTGAAGATACATTCCTACGTTTATGAGCCTTCTTAGCAGAATTTTCAGTTAACACTGGTGTTGATTTAACTTCTAGTTTTCTTGGGCAAAATTTAGGGGAAAAATTCATATCCTTTAAAAGGAGAAACGTGACTCTAAAACAAGCTGGTTTATCTTCCGTAGATCACAAGCATATGTAAGATGTTCTTTGCCACATTTCATACACCTCGGAGAGTTACTGTAAAAGAGATGACAGTGCTTGAAAGGCTGGCAGCGGAAGCATATCATCGTGTTTCTCTTCGAATGAAATCTCCTGATAGTAATCTTCACATTAAGAGTAGTTTTCTTTTTATAAATGCTTCTTTCCTCGTCATAAATGCTTCTTCCCTCGTGTCAAAGAAGCGAAAAAAAACAGGAAGCTTCACTTCTCTTCCACGAGACTTGTTAAACAACTGAGTAACTTGTAAGTATAGTGTTTCCTTTTAGAGTTTCCTTAGTTCCTTTTAGAGTTTCATTTTTGATTTCAATTCGATCGGAGTCGTCCGTGAGTCCACGAATAACTATCTTAAGTGATGCACCACGTTTAGCTCGAAATACGCTAAATTTCTTTTTTCATGAAAATTGGAAACGCGAGATCGCGTTGCGAAGCAGAAAAACAATAATGAAATTGTCCCTTGTTAAAATACCAGTATAGCCGGTGATTTAGATCTTCCCAGCTTACCTTTGCTCTGGGGCAGACAAATCGGCGGCCCTCGTTCTGTTTTCGGATCAGTCACTATGCCAATAACAACATTTGTGGACGATTCATCATATAATGGCATTCCATAATTTCCTCAGGAGAGGAGATCTCAGCAAAAGGTCGTCAAATTTGTTGATCGTAGAAGTAGAAGGAACATCTGTTGAAGGGGGTGGCTTCTTGGCTGATTTCTTGGCGAAACCCAGTCAGTATCATTTTTCCCAATAATGACTATAATCAATTTTGTTTTTAGAAAACGCTAGCAGGTTTTATAAACTGTTTAGTAATTTTCAATTAATTTTGCAGACCCATGTCAATCTAAAAGCCCATGCCAAAATGGAGGAACTTGCTATATTAGAGATGGAGAAATGAAATGCAATTGCAGAACAGATTATGGAGGAAAAAACTGTGAAATTAGTAAGTATGATTTAAAAAATGAATAGTACACAGCGTGAAAACAGTTCTCCTTATGTCTGATAAAATCGGTTAATTAGGAATTCGATTTGTGAATTATTTTCTTTTTCATGTAATTTTTTATAGATAATATGTCACTTTTTTAAAAATGCTATTGCAGAGTACTGTTCATTTGCAATGCCATTTACTAATTTATTTTATAAAGTCTATTTGTTTCCCTTGCGTTCGAAAGATTGTTTATGAATGTTAAATTTATTGGTAAACTAATGAAGAGGTGAACACTGTAGAAGTAGTAATGCCTCATGCAATAGCAGAAAATATTTTTCGGTTATTTTCCGATTACACTAGTCGTAGTTATCGTTCTAATATCATCGACATCGCATTTAAAATTTTTAAATCCTCTACAAGTCTTCAAACTAAAGGCATTTTCATTCATTCCATTTTTTTTCTATCATTCGCGAATTCAGCACGCTTCTTTTTAAATGCTTCAAGTAATAAATATGTTACCTGGTTTCCTTTATACGTATTAATAAAGTCAAATTCTTAGGTATGAAAGGACTAATGAGGGATTCTCATTCATGGTGCATGGTAAAATTTCGTTTGATTGAGGCTACGCAGTGAAGAGGACAAACCCTCAAAATTCACGATAAAGGAACCCTTTTCGGATGTTAAATAGCGCGAAGTGCAAAAGATCTTTACATGCACTTAATTTGGTATAAAAGATTACAATATTTCTTTCTTGGGATAAAAATTGCAATGATTCTTTCTTTTATTTCTTTTGCAGATGTGGGGCGATAATACTGCTTACAATAATTCTTTCCTTACTTTGGAATCAGTAGAAGCTTGCGAAATTTTCATGCACAGCAGTTTCCTCAATGACTTAGCTTCCGTCGCCTTCCTTTTGGACGAGACATCCTAGAGCAGTGATGGCGAACCTGTGGCATGCGTGCCATAGATTGATTGCGAACTATGGCACGCATGCCATAGGTTCGCCATCAGCAAGAGCCTCATCAGCCGGCATGCGACTAAAATATTACTTCCTTAAGCAATAATTACAATAAACTGATACTATGTAACTTAAATAATTGTTTTAGTCTATTCTTGAACGTTTCGTTTACTTACTTATCGCATAATGCCACTGGCATACGACCTAAGCATAGATATAAGATTTTCATGTATCGCTATAGAAATGATATACATATTTATGCACCCAATTTATGACGTTTCAATTGTTTGGCCCAATCATATTACTTGTTACATGGCAAAAAATACGTTGAAGATAAATTTGCAGCTAATATTTGCTAAACGAATTCAAATTTATTGTAGATTGCTGGGTGAGTTTTAATACTTTCATTGTTAAATAGATTTTCTATACTCCAGGTCTTGAATACTCGAAAATGACTCCAGGAAAAAAGGCAAAATTAAATATTGATAATGGACCATTATTTCAAGAGCCCTGGACAGAATCATTTGGAGTTATTGAACACAATAGAAATTATTAGGCATTCTGTGCGCGAAAAGTGTTGTGTGTCGCACATGTTATGTCAGGCCGTACTTTAACACCAACCACAACATTGCTGCCGAATTTGACGAAGCTGAGCAGAAGGTATTTATTGAAGGGATATTGAGGAATCATAATTACCAGAAAGTTGGTTTTTGCAATTATCTTTCTAAAATAAACCATCTAACAACGCCAGCTTTCAAATTTCACTGTGCCTGGCAAAACATGGCAAACCGCTGTCCGATGGAGATTTAATTAAAGAGGTCTTGGGCACGCGGCGCCCCGAAAAACGGTTTCGGGCAAGCGGCTCTAAAAAGGTTCATCACCACTTGTCCTAGATCATTACATTGTAAAAGTTTTACGACTTTACGATCTATAAGGCCTTTACCCGTCTAAGTTACGTTATTCCACTTGGAAGCATAAAAAGAAAAGTCCAATATGGCGAAGCCAGATGGTGCATATAGACGGAAAAGGGTGTGAGTCGCGCAGAGGCCCAAATTCACGCTGACGAGAACAGCAGCTTTCTGCCGTAAACACTGGTTTACGTCAGATTAGTCAGATTTTGAAAACTCAACCAGCACTTGTACTGCTTGCAATCCTGTTATAAGTTTTTCGGAGGTTGTTTTGGTATTCTTAAGTTTGTTTATGATAACCTAATATCTTGAAAGAATTGAAGTATATTAGAGCCTGGAAAGAATTTTAAAATCGGTAGCATTTTCTTGAATTGAGCAATTGAATTTTTCTTGAAATTGACTGGATATTTTCGGAAAATTTTCAAGGGTCAAACTTCGAGGGGATATTTTCTTCTTTTATTTTCTCTTTAATTCTGCTAATCGTTTTCAGCCAGTCAAAGAATTAACGTGGTTTTGATTAAAAGAAACACAGAAGATCTATTTTTCATCGGAAAATTTGCATTCTTTACCGCATTTACAGAATCTTTTAGAATAAAAGCATTTGTGTTGAAGATGCCCAAACCGTTGGCATCGAAACACTGGATTGAGAGTTTAACTGTGTTTCTGTAGAGCTCTATAATGAGATTAAAATTGAAAATGCTTTTTACTTTAAATATGCCACGACCTGCTGTGGTGTTTCCTAGTTCAATGGAGTAAGTCGGTATCTTGATAGTATCTTCAATTATTCTGGTGAATTGCTTGACCTCTAATACTGGGAATTTGCTATCTGTTTGAAAATTGTTGCTTCTGGGACAGATTTGATATATTCTTAAGTATGGCTTTAGTAGTTTTATCTGATTCGAATTGATAGGCATGAAAATTAACTTGAGATTTTGTCATGAGCTGAATAACTTGGTTTTAGTCTTCTCGGGATTTTGTGAATAAAAAGATGGATTTGCCTTTAATTTGTGCTTTGTAATCCGTTTTACAAATTTCACTAAGATCTTTGTCAGCTGACATTGTCCGAATACTATTGGGAGGGGGGTCTCTTCATGATCTGCTTTAATTTAATTATTTTCGGATAATTTTTCAAATTTTCTTTCAGTAGTAATGTCAGTTTCTTTTTGCAGGGTTAGAAGTTTTCAAGTTTTAACTGTGGGTTATATAGTTTTCATCTTCATTATTAGGGTCGATCCTGTGTCAGAGACTTCCATTTGATTTTTTGAAGTCGCGTTTTCCTTTCTCTCGGCAAGGACATTTGTAATTTAGTATGTTCTAAACAGAGGTCTGAAACTGGAATATTATCAATGTTACCTTTCTTCTTGAAGTTTGATGCATATTTCAATTTGTGCTGAATTATTTTGCAGCGTTTTTCTGCGGATAAACTACAAAATATTTTGTACCACGATATTTAGAACTGCAATGTTTTCCCTTTGCTTTATTTTCTCCCACGATGTTTTGTATCACTACGAGTGGATCAAGTTTACGAGAAAGTAAGTTTAAACGTGGATCAAGTTTACGAGAAAGAGTGTATTTCTCAATTGGGTTCTTTTTCTTTCCTTTTTTTTTTTTTTTTGATTAGCAATTAAATTTGGGAAAGTATCTTTGAATTTTTCGAAGGAATTCGCTAATTTCTGGGTTTCCTTTACAGTTTAAGGAGAATTAATTTTAAGTTTCTTGCATTTCTTAGACTTGTTAGTGGTCAAAATTTCATCCTTAATAAAATCTTCTAGTTTGAATTTATGGCCATTAACAGAAGCGCTAGAGTAGTTCGAACCTGAGTCCATCTCGTCACTGTCGTATCTATTATGCAAAAATTTGTCTGGAGGTACCCTAGTTCCCGCCATGAGGAGAACAAACAAAAATACTTACGAGTATGGAGCTGAAAATCATGCATCGCACCGCGAAGCTTGCCAAGTTTTGAAAGAATGAGAAAAGCCGATACCAAAAATCTTGCTGCCGCCCACCAGCGGCTGAGTCTCTGAACGCTGGTAGTTCGCTCCGAGGTTCCAATCACGCGAACGGGCTGGCTGCATGGGCGCTTTCGTGGTTTCCCCATGTCTGACGTGTTAATACGAGCCATTTTCCCTTAGAAATTCCTTCACGAAGGCATCCCTCCCTTCCGTGTAGTGCCTTAGCGCGGAACACGTAAATAATAATAAAAGATTTGCTGCTTATAACGTCCCATTTTACTCAAAATCAACCCTTCTTTTTTTATTAATTTATCTGAGCATGTGTTTCTGTATGTGTTGGAAATGGTCAAAACTCGTTTGTCTACTTACCTTCGACAAACTCCGTTTGTAGCGTTACCTTTCTTCTTTGCAATAGGCACATCTAATTTAACTCTGCAACGGCACACAGAATCTTTTACTGTGTGACATCGGTGCTTTCTCCCAGAGGGTTACTCAAGGGAATGTTTACCAAAGGGCGTTTAACAGCTGGACCAAAAATACCCTGCAAATATATAGTCGATATTTCCTCAAGTGGCAGACTTTTAGTTAGTTCTTTCCTAACTCATGCAGTCTCTGTTCTTAGAACCCATGATAGCCTCCCCCAAAGCGCCATACACAATAATAAGAATTCTTTTCAACTTACAAAGCTGATAGTTGTTTATCTTCGCTAGCTTCCTCAAAGGATCAGGGAATGTTTCAAAGGGCTTTAACGCTGGAGCCAAAAATACCCTGCAAATATATAGTCATAGATCCTCAAGTGGCAGACTTTTAGTTAGTTCTTTCCAACTCAAGTCTCTGTTCTTATATCCTCCCCCAAAGCGCCATACACAATATAAGAATTCTTGAATTACAAAGCTGATAGTTGTTTACCTAGCTTCCTCAAAGGATCCCCTCGAGCTACCGCCACCTTGTCCTCAAGGATATCATTATCTTGAATTTTTACCCTGGCCTTATCCTTTCCCTCATCTGATTTACACTGTCTGCTGCTTTTAACTTGAGGACAGTTCCTATTAAAATGTGCCGTTGAGTCTCATGCAAAACATTTTAAAGCTTTCGAGTTACGTGTGCTTTTCCTTACACCAGCTATGTCCTCTGATTCCTTCTGACGAACTAGTTTCTCACCCAATGCCTGATTTACATTCTTAGTTTCACTAACTT